CTGGAAAAAATTGGGGGGGGGGGGAGGCTACGCTGTTTAAAAGAATTTGAAAAAAAAATGCTTCAAGTTCCTGTGGACTGTCAAAGGTTAAAAAGAAAAAAAGTAAGTTGACAGTGAAATACACACCAACCAATATCGTCTATGGTTATTTCTGCAATGAACGTTCGTTTAACGTAATTATCGTTTAACTCATCGAAATTAAAAAGACCCCGAATCCAAATAACAAAATCAATTGACTTTCAACCCGAATTCTGAAAAACGGAAGAAAGAAAAACCTGAAACGAAACACATTTTTGCCCAGCTTACATGTCAAATGATTATCAGTAAAAGGTCTTTTTGTGCTGACCCCCCTGCACCTGGCTCATCCTTTACCCCCTTTCCCTCTCTGGGTGGCCCCTTGTACTACTAAGTCCTGTGCAGGACCACAGACATACGCCTTCGCCTGCTAATATAACCTGGTATGTTCTAAATTAATCATTGTAAAAGTGCCATGTAAGCTGTGAATGTCAACATTTGTGCAGTTCCAAGCTTTGTAATTCTTTTAGGAATTAACCTACAGAAGAGGGAACCAGGAAGTTTAGAAACAAGCTGCAGCAGGAAAGAACTGTGACTCATTCACTTATTGGAGGAAGTTGAAATTATGGGAACCCTAATGGCTGAGATTATACCTCTAAAACAAGCACAATTAACATAAAAAACAAAAAAATCACACAAGTCTCATTAAAAAGGTAAATGCCACTAGAGATGTATACATGTGAATGTATAGAGAGTATTCCCTAAACTCAATAAAGGACAGTCATTTGACAACTCTGGCTTTTGTGAGCATCTTTTTGTGGTGCTTGGCCTTTGCACAGGAAAGTGTGACATCCTAGTGATACAGAGAAGGGTCATATAAGGACACAAGTATGAAAGATGGCATTGCCAATTGGTAACGAACATAGGTGTACCATCAGTTTTCTGCATGTGTGTTGCAGGTCAAGGATTGGGTGACGCCACTAAGACAGTCTTTAAAAACAAGTCATAAATGTTAATTTTGCCTAAGCAGTACCCTAGAAAAGATCTTTTACCTGAAATTCCTCCTGAAAAATAGTGTGATCATCTAATGTACTGTGCTCTGACATCTACTCCTACAAGCTTTGGAACATGATGTCACTACTGTGCAGGCCACTGTTCTCCTTGAGGGGGAGAAAGCAGGGGACCTCAGCGCAAAGATCTCCCTGATTTTGTGCCATTCATTCTGTAGATTCTGCTGCTTCTTTAACATTACCCCACCAGTCTTCAGATCCCCAGTCACAAGGGGGAAACTCTGAAATGAGAAAGCAAAGTTCTGCCTTTATAGAGAAGGCCTCCACACAGAGTGACATTGTAGAACAAGACATGGCAAGTCAGTAATTGGGGAACAATCAGCTGCAGGGAGCCAACAGGCATTACTGATGACTAGTCATATGCCCTCTGCTTACTGTTTTTGGGCACAGCTCTCCTAGTATGGATCTTCTTTAAGAGTATTGCATAAAACCTACTTCACTGCTGCTCTCTCTCACTGCAAGTCTATGTATTGGTCAGTCTGGATGGAAAAGCTGCTCCATACAAGGCTAAATAACCTTATGAAAGGCTAATCTTACGGAACAGTAAGCAAGCACAGTAAGTAGGTAAATGTGAAATATGTCATACAGAATACACAATTTAGTCAAATTTTAATTTCTCTCTGTGGTTAATCTTCATGGTTAATCTCCCTCATGGGGACACAAAGCAATAAAATCCTGGTATATTCCTTCCTCACGCTACTAGAATATACGTTTTTCATTGCTGCCTGAGTCTTCGAAGAGGTAAACATCCCCTCATTCTTTCTGACTTCCCTGTGTGTTAAAAAAAGTTTTTATATATGCCATGTCTATTTTCATTCTCTGGGGGTGATCATACAGTATTTGCTCATTACAATATAGTATAGCAAAACAGACGTTGACAGCTTTGTTGGTACCCTTACAAGCTCATATAAAAAAAAAGCTTAATTCCTCCTTAAAAGTGATGATATTAAAAGCAGTTGCCCCATGTATACCTGCATGTCTTTGGTATCTCATAGGGTAAAGCAAAAAAGTGTGAAAAGCGTTACAGTACTGCTTATACTACAGAGATATGTAAACGGCCTAGACAGATTTGTTAATACCTTAGAAAATTATATAAGGATTGTATTTAGCCTATTCAAATTGAAAAAATAGTTGTTCTGCTGTATGGTATCATCATGTGCACCACACTAAACATTGACCAGAGAACGCAATGCAGAGTTGTCCAAGGAGATTAGAAAGAAATGTATAGACAATCATGTCAAAGGTAAAGGCTATAAAGCCATAAGATCTCCAAGCAGCTTGATATTCCAAACATCACAGTTGCAAATATTAAGAAGTTTAAGGTCCATGGGAGTGTAGCCAACGCCCTGGACATGGGTGCAAAAGGAAAATCAACAAGTAAGTAAGTTAAAAATAAAGTTAAGTAGGTTAAGAATAAAACAAACACACAAAACAAAACCCACATTAAGCAAAATAATATGATTGTTAGACAAAGAGCAAAGGAAAACTACCAAAGAGATGCAATCTAAACTCCAAGACCAATGTACATCAGTATCTGATTGCACCATTCATCAAAATTTCAGCAACAGTGGGCTCAAAAGAAGAAGTCCCAGGAGGACTCCATTGCTGAAACAAAAACATATAAAAAAGGAGTGGAATTGTCTAAAATGCATACTGACAAGGTCACAAAAAGTCACAAAATTAGACCTTTTTGGCAAGTTAGATCTTTATCACAGAAGAAAACATTAAGCTTTGATATAGTAGGGAATGGTTCAAACCCCTGAGGAGATTTACCATCACTTCCTGTTCCAGAGACACAGCAGAAAGAGGAGATGGACTATCCTTACCTAAACAGTTGTCACTAGAACATGTGTGGTAGATCTCCCCTTACAACCTATTCTTGTATCAACTCAAAATTGTTGGTTTTCCCCATCACTTTATGTACTGGATACAATGGTCATGAGGACCATGGTTTTAACCCTAACTAAAAAGAAAATGTCCCACACCTTTCTACCAGTTGGCCAGGTGCAAAAGAGTTTAATAGTATAGATTGTGATGTCCTTTTTTTGTGGAAAATACTGTAAACACAGTCCATAAAACACTTTTGAACCACAACCCCACATTGCAGAGCAAAAGGCAGTTTTTATCCTAAAATAAAAATTAGAGTACCATTTCAGAGGCAATAGCCACAGATATAGCACAGTGACTGGAGATTATACTAGGTAAGCAGCTTGATTAGGCTGCAATGTAAGAGGGATCTATAAGCATTTTTACTAGGCTCCGATTAAAGAGGGAGAGACAAGGCAGGTTTTATTGTGAAATAAATATAAAATCAGTATTAGCATGTATTTATTTCTCATAAAAGCCAGTTACAAAATGTACAAACTCCATACACAGTATTTAAGCACTTTTAGTAGGACGCATTTTGAACCAGAAAGACAACAGACATCTTCCAACACAAAAAAAATATTTTTTGATTAAAAATAAATAGTGCTAATTAGAGTGCAACTATTTCAAAGAAAAAAAGTCAGTAAAATATTGCATTGACTCCATACACAGTATTTAAACACTTTAACTAGGCCGCATTTTGAACAGGAAGGAGAACAGTCAGCTTTTGATCCAATAATCAACATTAGAGTGTATACTTTTAAGAAAAAAGCAAGCAAAAACTGTTCTAACTCCATGCCCAGTATGTAAGCACCCTTACTAGGCTGCAGGTTAACAGTGAGAGACCAGCAAAAGAAATCCCAATTGGAGTGCACTGTTTTAGAGAGATAGCCACAGTGGAATAAGCCGCAGAATTTGAGGTACAACACAAGATTGTTAATTGCAGAAAAAAATAGGGCAGTAGAGCCAGCGAGATGCAGATGAGGGGATAATGTTGGCAGGCCAGCAGTGGTGACAGGAGGTAATAATGGTGGCAGACCAGCAGCGGTATAAGAAGCTGGCAATGGTGGCAGCATATGGTAATGGTGGTAAACCAGTAGCAATAACAGTAGCTGATAATGTTAGTAGGCCAGGAGTTGTAGAAGGAGCTGGTAATGGTGGCAGGAGGTGATAGTGTGGCAAGCCAGCATCATTGGCAGAATATGGTAATGGTGTAAGTTATCGCATTTTTTGGGGACAGATTTCAAGCAAAAATGTATTCCTTAGCATCCGCTGCAGGGGTTTTGTACTTATTGCTGATCAATGATTGGTCCATTTTTATAAAGGTGATCAAGTCAACGTGTGTCAGGGGACAAGCCTATTTGTCTCTCTATCACAAAACCACCCAATGCACTGAATGCCCTCTCTGACAGCACACTGGCTGCCCAGCAGGCCAACAGTTCCACTGCCTAAGTACTGAACAAGCTCCGGCCAGTGATCCAGCCTGGCCTGCCCAAAATTCCATGGCGTCCTCAGTTATTATTATTTTTATTATTATACAGGATTTATATAGCGCCAATAGTTTGCGCAGCGCTTTACAATATAAGGAAGACATTACAGTCACAATACAATTCAAAACAAGATGGTAAGGAGGGCCCTGCCCGTGAGGGCTTACAATCTAAAAGGGAGGGGCAAGTGATACATGAGGAGGTAGCTGTGCTGAGTTTGGAGGTTGCCCACATCTGTCCCCAAATCCCAGGTAATACGAGATTATATAGTTTAGGCATTGCCTCTGACTGCTGCCAGCAGCAAGGACTAGCTGGTGTCTCTGAAAAATTACTTAAAGGTGTCTCTGAAGGAACCACTGCCACCGCTGCTCCTCCTTTCAGCGACCTGGGGATTTGAGGCATGTTAGCTATGAAAGGGGATCCTTCCACTCTCTGGCAAGGTGGCCAAGAGGTTCCTCTGCAGCACCTCTTCCAAGTCGGGCATTTTTGCTCTCTGGGAGGCAGCATGAGATCTGACATTTTTTCCTTGTATTGGACGACGGGGGGTGGCCAACCAGTATGGTTCCTTCATGGCCCAAATACTGGTGTCCTTCCTTGCCACTGAAGTGCTGGCAGAGTCTCTGGCCAAGGTCAGATCCTGTCTCTCAGGCATACCAACTGCAAAACAGCTTGATTGAGTTATAATTTTTTTCTGCTCCAGCAGCTGTGGAAGTGACACCTGCCTAGTCAAGTCCACCTGCCTAGTCCATAGATGGCAGGTTGGGGTTAGGAGACATACAGCGAGGTTCAAGCTTATGCTATACTGTTCCTCCTCCCTACTAGTTGTTCTGTAAGGTAAGCCTCTCAAACCCCCTTGTCAGACTTCGATCCCTACCACTTGAAGCCGCAGATGCTGTAGCAGATGAAGACAGATATTATTGTGGAGTAGGTAGAGAGGTGGAAAGGGAGGAGTGAGTTGCATGAGGAGTGCGGGTCTTTCTATGGCAACTGGTATCATTGATGTGCTGCTCCCACGAAGCTTTGTGTTAAAGAATGATGTATCACCTTATGCAGGGCCGTTTTTAAGGCAGGGCAAAAAGGGCATTTGCCCCCCGGGCCCAGTAATTGCTGTGGGGCCCAAAGCAGCTGCCCCTTGACCACTTGTAGTGTCAGACTGCAAACCCAGCTCTGACTGTAACTCAGGAGGTGTGGGGGAGCAGGAGCAGAGCTCTGCAGCAAAGTGTTAGTAAGCTGTGACAGTGTAGCAGGTGAATGGGGCACTGTCACAGGAACGATGTACTCAGCTCTTCAGACGTCTTGGGCTGTGTTTTCCCCCTATTGCCTCTGGCAGGAAGTTAGTGCTGATGATAAGAAGAGCCTCAGCTTTTGCCCGGAGCCAGCTAGGAGGTAATATTATAGTCAGAGGATTGAGTGTTCCTGAGAGAGAGTGACGGTCCCTGCATGGACTGAGGGAAGCTTTGCTGCTGCAGACAGAGGGTGATAGTCCCAGCAGGGAGCTGCGTTCCACGTCCCCCCCGTCATCACTTTCTTCCAGCTCTGTCACATAGTCTGTAAATATTCATGGGGCAAAGACTAACGTTAATTTGCCAGATTGGAATAGAATCCTATTTTATATGTGTTAAATGTTCCTAACACAACATAACCGTTTAAACAAACATTGCTGTTCACCTTTTTACTTGCTGAATATTCTTATATTTATTTCGACAATTGAATGTAATGTTAGGGATGGGGCTGGAAGTAATGGTCACTATAATCCAGCTACCAACCGTGCTGGAACACACTGGATTAGGTGTAAACAAGCCCTTTGATGTGATGGAAGCTGCCTGTAGAGTCCTGTGTGTAATCTGATAAAAAACTAAATAGAAAAGTAAGAAATACTTTGTAAATGTGAATTGGGTGTGCTATATGAATGGGAACATGTAACATATAGTAGGGGGCAGAAAATGTACTATATAGAAATGTCACCAGCACATCAAATACTTTTAGGATAGCAAAATGTTCATTTATTTGCCATTCCTTGTCAGAAAAACAAGCGCCTTATGAAGGGACCCTGCACGGTCCCGAAAGCGCTTGTTTTTCTGATAAGGAACTGTAAATAAATAAACATTTTGCTATCCTAAAAGGATTTTTTGGTGTGCTGGTGACATTTCTATATATTGCTGATGTTTGCGGCGCCATCCGCAGTCACTGCGGGCACCAACCCCATTACAAGGGACTTTCGGTAAGGAATGCAACAAGTAAAGATGTTTTTTTGTCAACTGTGTAGGCCAAAATCCTTGCACTGGCCCTGCTGTACAGTGCATATTGTGACCATATGATGTTTCACAGGGTGAAGGGGGCGGGGGGGGGGGCCCCAAGAAAATGTTTGCCCAGGGTCCAACTAATATTAAAGACGGCCCTGACCTTATGCATGTGGTATCCAAATATACCACGCTGGATATGTTGCAGATAAAGTCTGCAAACCACTACGTTGCTGTTGGCAGCAGATCTGTTATAAAAGACCCAGATTACCGAGCTATGTGGAACAGACCAGGAGATAGCAGTGGCATGTACCTGCAACTTTTATTAGCAGCTATAGCAATGTGGAATGTGGTGCGCTTAATAATGTGCTGCTTTGGTGCACTAAACTGCACTGCACTAGTATGTGGTGATGTGCTGCAAACAAATGGCAGCTTTATCTGTATCAGCAACACATACAGAACAGTGAAAATAGGTGGGAATATAGACTATATAGCACACCACACTGCAATTAACTGTAATATTTAGCACAATACAGCAAATTAAAGCACAACATATAGCACAGGTAAACACTGTTTATCAGCAGCTATCTCCCCTGCAAACACTCTAAACCTAATGTACCAAAAAATACAAATGTTTGGGAACGCTGAGCACCACAACACACATAACGTGTTGCCAAGGTGTGTGGAGATGTGTGCATCACAGTGTGTATTAAGTCTTAAACAAACAAACAAAAAAAGAGACTTATAACTGGGAAAATCTGTCACAAAGATAAAGGAAAACAATTATACTGTTAATAAAAAATAAAAAATAAAAAGTTTATCACTAAAAACAGGCTCAAAGATAGTAGGGTTTTTGCATTGTAAATGCTCAGTTGTCTTTACAGGTAAAGGCCAGCCATGCAACAGCAGGTAATACTGTACTGACTTCACCTACTACAGAATATGTATGACCAACACAACTCTTCTGAAATCATGTTACATGATTCCTTAGCAGTCAACAAGTGAGAAACCCAGATGACCGAGTATACTGTGCACAAAATGTACCTGAACAAGTCTCCACGCTTCACTAATCACTGCATACTGGAGCCGATTCAAAACAAACCCATCCGTCTCTTTCATTAATTTCACAGGAGACTGACCGATTTTCTTCATCAGATGATATGTCTTCTCCACTGTGATAGGATCCGTCTGTGGGTGGGGAACCAATTCAACCAAGGGAACGTAATAAGGTGGATTCACCTGTTTCAGGAGACAAAATGAAAGCCTGTTTGTTACTTTGTGATCAGTGTTCCAACTACAGAGCAATTCTATCTTTATACAAGGTGTATACTGGATAGTGAGAACTGTCTTTATGGATATTTCTCATACAGAATAACCACTCAGTGGAAGAGCTACCAAACAAAACAAAAAAAACCACACAGCAATGCAACAAAAATGACAGCATTTGGTTTATCATTTGATAAAGCGCTAGTCCAACTAAAACCGATTTATCTGTATTGATTGGACACTGGCAGGATAAATTAATCAGCACATTTTTTTTATCCCTATGAGAACTGTAATGTAAAATTCATTAAAATGGGAGCCATGTGTTGAATGATCACATATGGAAGAGTATTTAACATATTATGCAGTCTACATATCCAGGACGAACAAACCTTGGTTCTTTACCAGAGAGTGTAGCCTTTATTAGATCCCAGAAACAGACAAGTACAAGATGACAAGTCCAACAGAGTGTATACAAAATAATTTAATAATGAAAGCTCTATGAGTTCCTTTACAAATTCTAGTTCCTTCCTTTAATGACCTTTTTAGCAGTTGAAGCAGGATGAGTAGAACCCCAAAAACTGGCATACGAATGACAGCAAAGAGGCATAAATCAAGAAGCTTGGTGGAGTTTTTTTTTTGGTGGGGTCCTGGGATTAATAGAACGTCAGTGGGTAATCCTGCAGACACAAATGAGGTCACTGGAATGCAGAGAGATGGGGTGCACCCTCACAGGAATAAGCACAGGCACTAAAACTGGAAGGGGAGCCTTGTTTTGTGTCTGGAAAGTGCAGGGACAGCGAGATCAGAGCTGTCAATCAAGAGGCCATCTCCTTTGCAGAGCGTGGGTAGAAATGAAGAGGAGTGAACTGTCAATGTTTGTATCTCAGTTTCTACTGCACACAAAAGTATAGGATAAAAAGCAACATACACAGTGGAAGTTAGGCGACTGAGCTGTAAAGGTGAGAGTTTTTCTTTAACATTACGGACTCTTGCAAATGGTTTAATATGAACAACCACATTTCTGCGCAAATCACCATTTATCCAACATGTATATTTTACTACACGGAGTCAAGAAATTACTCATCACTGAGTGGTATGCTGGCTATGAAGTGGTACTGGATAGTGATAGGTTATTCCCGTCTACCAATGCTGTATCTGCAGGAGGGGATAGAATATTTTTTCAAAAACTCCAATACTTTCAAAGCAGATGCTGGTAACCAAGTTCAATCAGTTGCACATTGCATGCATGCAAAACTATTGTTCCATGACAAGCCATTCAGCAAATGTATGCATATATTAACCCATTATGAGACTGTAGTCATAGATACAACATATATTAGGGAAAAAAATATTTAGGACTGGTTATAGACATAAGAGTGGAGCACATGCATACAACATAAAGATACTGTTCCATTCACTCAAAGTGTTCTAGCGAACTATAGCTTCCCTCTTGGCTTTAATAACCACATGTGAATTGACGGCATGAAAAAGCTGCACAGAGAAATCTGAGAAACTGCTGAATCGACAAAGGGCTGCAGCTGCGTCACTGGCAAGGACATCAATTGTCACTTATCCATGAGATGAGTATGTATCCATCTTTTCTTATCAGTACGGCCATACGATCATAAGAGAATCCCGGGCTGTGATTTGCGATCAAGATGGCATTGAGCTGGTGTTTGTACCGTTATTACCTCACTACGGGGTCAGCTTTTAACGCTTGAAGCTGCTCTTAAACCCTGTGTGCTTTTGTCACCAAACAGACATCCAAATGGACTGTATTCTATAAGACGCATTATGGATATGCCTACCCATTATTACTTTACTGTGAACCATTTACCTTGATAATATATAGCAAAAGGAACACTGTTACATTTTGGAGTGCTACAAAGTAACATCGTATGGAAGGATTTATTATATAAACACGGACACACCAGCCGTTGATTCATTGTCTCTGGATTTGCATTACCCGTGGAGGGTAATTATAATACATACCACCAGTCCTACCTTTCAAATTGAGCCATTGCAGGGAAAGCTTACTTTTAGAATTTTAAATGTTAGTCCTGTGTGTTTTTTTGTAAACATTTTTCTATGAAGTTAAAATATTGATGTGATATGATTACATTGTTTGATACCATAATTACTATAGTGCAATATATTTAGCTCCATGGTGGGATCTCCTCTTCCTTGAGGGAACCAAAGTTTTTTTATATTGTTCCAGCATTGAACATCATTTTATACAATGTTTGGCCATTATGATTGCACTACAGTTTAACAGACAGACACGCTTAGGTATCCAGTGACTAATCAATGACTAGACACACAAGCTGATACATTATGTGTTGATACAATTCACTTAGTTGCACAACATTCATATATTTCAATGTTGGATCATGCAGGTGAAAATCTAACTAATTAGGGGAAATGCTGCTGATAATGCAGACTGGGCTACCACATAATTCCCCATGTTGATTGACACAGGCCTCTTTTAAACAGCCACAGTGATGGCCAAATGTGATAGATGCAGGTGTTCAGCAGGGCATCAAAACACCCATATCGTAATGGTACTCAAGCCGTATCGACATGTTGATGTACCCTTGTATGGCCAGATCTTCTATCCTGGATGTTTAATATCTGATTATATTCCATCTCCTACTGTGGTGACTAGTCCCATTTAAAAAATAGCAGAAAATTGAAAAGCAACGGACCTGAAGTATTGAGTTAGCAATATGGCTGCACTCTGGGCACAGTTATAGTAGCGCTGCATCTCAGAGAAACAGCCGGAAGGCAAGTATGATAGATACATTACATGTATCCTGTCTTTTCCATAAATGTTGCCTGGAACTCTGCTCCTGTGCTTTGCAGAGATATCTCCTGGAGCTCTTCTTTAATGTCAGGTTTCCTTTAGGCATAATTGTAACACTAGGATGTGCTAGTAATCCTTGAACCGCCCTATTAAACATTCTTGATATAAGGAAAACTGCAGTCAACATATGTTTATTGTGCATTTTCAGGTTCCCAGACAAGCAAGACTTTGTCATTAAAATACATAATATCACAGGGATTATCTGTTAATTTATCCAAAATGTTTAGGACTTACAGGATGGGCTACAATGCAGTTCTTGACATGCCGAAGTCCATTAAAGATCTTTGAAGGAGACAGGCAGGACGTCGAGCTGCTTATAATGGCTGTATTGTTGACATGAGCATCTAGGTCAGAAAATATCTTCAGCTTTAATTCCAAATTCTCAGGAACGCATTCCTAAAAAACACAATAAAAAATAATCACCCGAAGCTCAATTATCTTTATTAGCTCCACTGTCAAGCTGCGGCATGATGCTTTTGCCCCATATATATAGTGAAAAAGTTTCCTAAACTGAATTTTAAAAAATGACATTGTCATCCAATTTACAACATTCAGAGGCATAAAAGGTTACATGCATATGCTTATAATAAAGAGACAGGTTAAGTCAGCGAGTACAATTTATCAAATCCATAGACTTAAGTAGCGAGACAAGCCAGATACACCACAGCCCTACCAGCCCATTGGCAAACATCAGCTTAGTTTCCTTTCTCACGTTCAGCCATGTATATATCATATTCTCACGTTCAGCCATGTATATATCATAGTGTCTGCTCCGCAGTGGTGCAAAACTAGGGTATGAATATTTCTTTAGAATTGTATAAAGAAGAAACATTTTTTTAGCCATAGCAATATAAGAGTAACACATCAGTAGGTTAAAATGACATCACAACAGAAGTAGGCATTTTGTCATGTAGTCTAAAAGCTAAGTAGACTAATAATGACTTTTTAAATTACATTAATATGTTAAAGCTTAAATTTAGTGATTGAGTTTACATCTATCTACTTACTGTACACACTCATTTTGGAATGCATTATTTGAAGTAGGGCTGGGCCGAGGGGTCGGCAGAAGAGGCAGTAACCTTGGGCACTTTAGCAGGAAGGGGGATGCAAAAAGAGCAGGACAAGAACCTATATGCTGGTAAAGTAGTTAACAGCTCATAGGGGGGAGCACTTTAGAATATTTATCTTGGATGTTAAAGAACCTTGCAGCAAAATAAAGGGATGCACACTGTAATCTCCTGTGTACTAGAGGGGGAAAAAAAATAGAGAAGTGGAAAAGGGAGATGTCAACAGTGCAAACATAATGCCCAAAATCCGAAGGCCGCTCTGGGTTATCTGCAGCTTCCAGAGCATTGGCGTAATGATTGGACAGGACCTTTTTCAAAATCCTTAAGTGTACAGTTTTGTTTCATTGTTCCATTATATTTTATATTCTCATATTTGCTCCACTGTTTTGGATGTCCTTCATCGCAGAACAAAGATCCAATGTAGAGGAAGGATTTGCCTGCATATTCCTAATTCTACATCTTCTCCTAATTAAACACCTTCTTGCCCACTTTTCTATAGTATTGCTGCTTGATAATTCAGTTTAGCTCCATTTATAGAGGATTTCACTATGAGCATTATGTGCTGTGTGTAAGTTGTCATGAAAGAATGGGACAGCGGTGCAGTTTATAATCTACTAACCTTACGTTTCCAGCTAACTACTCTGTCCTCACCAGCTCAATATTTCAGCATATCAGATCACGTTCACAGCAAGCGCCGAAAGAGATATAGAGATAATAGTCAATAAAAATTGCAATAGGAATAATAATAACTGTCCTGATATTTTATATTAATAGATAATTGCTAGTGCTCCTTCATACATGTGTCTTCTAATGCTAGCACAAACGGTTTTTGCAAAACTAAAAACCTAAGCTGTCTTACTAGTTTTTAGTTGAGGAGCTGAGGTTAATTTCTGACAGATAATTAGGGGTTGCAGCAGAAGTTCTGAGGGAAACAGACCTATGCTGGTAATACAGCTAAACAAATAAAGCAAATGCTGCTCACTACACAAAAAGCAAGTAGTCAGGATCCTGAATATACCTCCTGCACCTCTGACATCAGCTCTTCTGCCTGGAGATTTTACAAAGTCAGTGTCACCATTAACAGCAACCCCTGATTACACAGTATTGGATCTGTATTATCTTCACATGCAGGTAGACTTTCTATGTTTAATTTGCCTCCATAGGGCCTACTCACACCTCCATGGCTATAGTTAGCGGCCGATGATACATATAGCCCACTGAATGCTGACACAGAGGTTCAGCACTGGGCAGGAAACCACACAATGTCAGCCTGTTCCTTTGTTGGCTAGCAATGTTCTTTCTCCTGTGGAACAATAAAATAAAACTACCTTAAATTACTAGAAAAAAAAAAACAATCACATGAGATACTATAGCTATAGACAAGAATTTAGTAGCACCACACAGCCAATTTCAGCCAGATTGGGCAAGTGTTGTTAAACCTATTGCTGCGGGTGCCAAAGGAAATCTGCTCTAAACATGAAAATGTAAATATTGGATTAATTGATATCATGTTAACAGGGTAGCTAGGAAAGGTGTATGCTGCATTTGAGTTTCTGTATTTATAAAAGAAGAACTTCGGGCAAGAAACCCTTGCGGGGT